TTATAGGTGATTTGATGCTTCTCTCTTGCAGCTTTTAAGATTCTCTCTTTGTCTTTGAGTTTTGCCAATTTGACTATAACATGTCTTAGAGAAGATCTTTTTGGGTTGGTTATATTTGGGGAGCTTTGAGCTTCCTGAATCTGAAGATCTGTATCTTTTTCTATACCTGGGAAGTTTACTGCCAGTATTTTGTTGAATATGTTTTCAACACAATCTCCTTTTTCCTCCCCTTCTGGAATACCCATGACTCGGATATTTGAGCACTTAAGGTTGTCTGCTATCTCTCTTAAATTTTCTTCAAAGTTTTTAATTCTTTTTTCTTTTCTTTTCTTTTTTTTTTTTTTTTTTTTTCTGCCTGTGTTTGGTCAGCCCATCTTCAAGGTCAGAAGTTCTCTCTTCTGCTTCTGCAAGCCTGATGGTAAAACTCTCTGTTGTGCTTTTATTTCATTGAATGAATTCTTCAGTTCAGCAAGCTCTGCTACATTCTTTTTCAGGGCATTGATTTCCTTGTACATTTCTTCTTTCAGGTCCTATATACTTTTCCTCATTTCATTGTGTTGTCTAGCTGAGTTTTTTTGTATCTCATTTAGTTTCCTTAGAATTATCAGTTGAAATTCCTTGTCAGACATTTCAAGGGCTTCTTGTTATATAGGATCTAGAGCTTGAGAGTTATTACCCTTTAGTGGTGTACTTTCTTGATTTTTCATATTTCTGGTATCTTTCCTTTGATGTTTAGTCATTGTGGCAAGGGATTCCACGGTCCACTGGTTCAACACTATTGTCTGGCTAGGATGCTACTGGGTACGACTGCCTCAGTGTCTGATTGGTTGCCCACTGGTGCCTCAGGTGCATGGTCGCCTTGGGTCTTGGGCCTCTCTGGGGAGGCGCCTCTCTGGGGAGGCGCCTCTCTGGGGAGGCGCCTCTCTGGTGAGCATGCACTCGGCCAGGCTGGGGATGCAGTCTGGTGGTGGTGAGGCCTACGTGCTCAGTCGTATGCTGGCACCATGGGGCATGTGGTCTCCGCGGATCTTGGGCCTCTCTGGCAGGACGCCTCTCTCTATTTTTAATTTTTTGAGGAGCCTCAATATGTTTTTTCATAATGCTATAGCACTTTTCATTCCCATCAATAGTATACAGGGTTCTAATTTTTCTACATCCTTGCAGGTTCTTGTTGTCTTTTGTTTCATAATAAACATTGTGTAGGTGTGAGGTGGTATCACATTGTGGTTCTGATTTGTATTTTCATGATGATTAGTGACACTGAGCATCTTTTCTTGTACCTGCTGGCCATTTGTATGTCTTCTTTGGAGAAATATATATATTCATGTCTTTTGCCCATTTTTACTGGGATTATTAGGTGTTTTTCTATTGAGCTATAGAGGTTCCTTATACATTTTAAATATTAACCCCTTCCATTTTGCTAAATGAAATAAACCAGTCACAGAAGGAAAAAATACTGCATGATTCCATTCGTGAAGTATCTAAAATAGTCAAGTTCATAGAATCAGAGATGACCAGTGGCTGCCAGGGGCTGGGGGAGAGAGAAATGGGGATTTTGCTAATCAACAGGCATCAGGTTGCATTTAAGCAAGATGAGTAAGCTCTAGAGATCTTCTGCACAACATGGTAACCATAGTTAACAGTACTTTACTGTACACTTGAACATTTAAGATGGTAGATCTCATGTTAAGTGTTCTTGCCAAAATAAAATAATGTTTAAAAAAAAAGTGAACCTCAAAAAAAAAATTCATGCTGACAGTAAAAAGTAAAAAGAATGTATTTTGTGGGCAAAGGATGACTGTATTAAAAAAACTTATTGGTAACATCATTTTTTTAAAAGCTGAATGGAAATTGCTTTCTCATGTACTTGTATGTAAATAAACAGTTTCTGTTGCCCAACAAAAAAAGTAAAAGCCTGAGTAGTTGCATTGAAAAATAAGACTCACTTTATTTGGCATAGTGACCATTGGAAATATATCTATATTATTCTCATTGGCCAGATGTATCTGATAACTTCCTGGTTTTCCTTTTAACCCTACTTGGATGGATACCTACATCTAGGCAGGAGAATAACACGGAATCTAACTAGAGATGGTTTTCATTATTCTGCTGAAGCAATTTGCTACTGCAGTAAATTAACACACTTGTCATAGATATGGGCTCTCCGGTGTTTTTGGCATTTTCTTCAGTATTAAACAGAGAATCCATTCCATAAATATTTACTGTACAGTCACTGATGGAGAAGCAGCCCTGAGGGAATCAGGTGAGTTGGAAGAGCCTGTGGGAATCCAGGAGAGAGTGTCTGAAATTTGGTAGAGAGGTCTGGACTGAGGGGGCCATTGACACCTACTTAGTGCCATAGGAGCTTTCTTTTCTGATGTGATAGTCGGTCAATTGACCGATTAACCAAAAAATCAATTGAAGTGGAGAAACATCAAGAAATTATACTTAGATATGTTAAACACTTTATTTTAATTTAAGCTATGAAAATATTAGTTTTTATTTTATTATTAATTTTTTTAACCAATTTTGTGATGGAGGGGAAAAGCCTTTTTTTGAGAGTGCGTATCTGCCAGTTGTACCTCCACATTACCTTCCTGACACAAAGCACACCTATAATGCGAGTTTGAGTCTAGTCTCTTTTTATACATACATATACACACACATAAATGGACACACACACATGTACACACAAGGGTGCTTCAACAAATTTCATGGAAAAATAGAATTAAAAGATAATGTGAATCTTACCGTGAACTTTTTGAAGTACCCTTGTATATATATATATATATGTGTGTGTGTGTGTATGAATGTATATATATATATACACATACATATATATATATATATATATACACATACATATATATATATATGGCAGGAACATAAATGACCGTCGTGAAACAGTCTGGGAGCAGATTATTATGATTATTCCTTATCTTTTACAGTTGTCTTACCCACACCCAATTTGACAGTGGTCTATTTTAGCTACTAGTTAAATTAGTTTTCATGAAAATAACTTTGCTTTTGTTCTCATATTTCATTGATTAACCCAACATATAACCACATATACTCATACGAACTAAAATAACAAGTATCACTGATATCAGTAAGTTGGAGAATGAATACAGTTGACCCTTAATAAGCATGCCCACCTCGACTGATGGGAGCAGGCATCTGTGGGTGATCAGAGAGTGCCCTGCTAGCCCCAAGATCCAGGGTACACAAGTGCCAGGTGGTGTTTTTTTCAAAGGACATGGGTGTCTTAGGCTGATCCAGCTCCACGTGGGGTTTGGCCAAGGGAACGTCTTTGTAGGCAGGGTGTGGGAGTGGCCTGCAGGATGTGCAGAGAAGACAAGGTGAGCCTCTCTTGGGGAGACACCAGCATGGAACAGCAAGAAGGAGAATTGATGAAAGGTGGCCAGAGACACATGAGGAAAACTAGGAAAACATGGTCCAGAGAGGCACTTAGAACCTGTTGCATAATTAGCTCTGTTTCACCTCTTCTCCCAGGCTGACAGTGATTCAAAGTCAGGGATGGTGTCTCATGTACCATCGTATCTCCTCCTTCTGGTCTGTTACCTGGCACTTGGGAAACGTTTAACTAATATTTTTGAATGAATGAAAGTGCATAGTTTTCCCCCCTGAAATTGCTGACAAAGAAGCAGGCATCCTTATGCACATTGGGTCTCTCCCATGGAAATCACAGGTCCGCAAACCGTGGGCCATCTGATCTTGTATGCTCCATGTCTCAGCCCAGTGACAGCATGGGTATAAATTAAGGTCCTTGTTCAACTCATAGCATGTGGTTGGCCACCTGTGCCCAGACAGGCAGCCTGGTGACTCTCAGCTACAGCGGGGCAGGGAAGGTGACAGGTATGATCTTGTTGGACACAGGCACGGTAATGTGAAAGGCAGAAAGCCACAAGTTTTCGTGAATTTGGAGACTTGAACCATCCCATTCTATAGGTCAAAGTCTTGGGTGATTCCCACTGGCCCTTAGCATGGTGACTTCTCTCTGAGGAACACAAAACACTTAGACCGTTAACTTTGGGATATTCAGTGGAGAAGGCAAGTGTCATCATCAGGAGCTTAGAGTTTAAGAACTGTAATGTCATAGTTATCACAGTTAATATAATTTGTTCAGTATCATTATTTAGCAAATGCTGTTAGTGTCTCTGCTCAATCTTCATTCACCACGTAAGCAAATCCTCAGCCTCTTTGTTTCTCTATAAACTCGTGACTGTTGGTCTGTTCTCTGAAAACTGTCATCTCCCTGTGTCACCTTCTATATATGTGACTTGATTTAAGTGAGCGTGGTGTGCTCACTCTCCTTCCCCGGACCTGGGAACGAGAAGCCTGTAGCATAAGTGTCCCTCTCTGCTTCTCCTCGGACAGCTTGGGGATGAACCACGACGATGACCACTCCTCCTGCGCTGGCAGGTCCCACATCATGTCGGGAGAGTGGGTGAAAGGCCGGAACCCCAGTGACCTCTCTTGGTCTTCCTGCAGTCGAGATGACCTTGAAAACTTCCTCAAGTAAGTCCTTGAATCACTCCATACGATCAGTACGATAGAGAGGGCTTCCAGAAGACACAGCCATGGGAGTCCGGCGAGTAGGAGGAGGAGAAATGAATCTCTCTTCACATTCTCAGCCGGCCTAAAGGGGCGGTTGGCACAGAGTCTCCTGTCACTGGCAACAGCGTCCTCCCAAGCATGTGTATGGTGCAATGTTGGGCACCTAGTTGGTGATCATTAAATAATTGTTGATTGGTTGAAATATTAACATCGAAACCCTGTCTTAAAAAGAGCCCCCTTTCATTCCCCTGCATTGAGGTGACCAAGGGGTGCCCCTTGGCTGCTGGAGAATAGAGCATTTCCTGGTTGCCGGGGCAGCTTTGCCTGGTGGGGAGTGAATCTGCCGGGAGGCGGGTGTGCTGACCTCCCTCGTGTGTGGGAAGGGCTGGTCTCACTACCGCTTTCTTCCTGGAATGTGTCAGAGTTCTGTGTGAGAACTGGCCATCCCGTTTCAGACCTTTGTCAAACAGTCTGTCCCCATGGACAGTGCAGGTCCTTTTGTGCCAAGACCTCAGGGCTGGATTTACACATTTGAGGTGTAGACCCTAACTGCTTCACTGCTTAGTCGTGTTAATCCATATACCTTGTGGAGACAGAAGTGAGTCAGTGAGTCAGTGAGTCACACCTGCCTACAGAGCTTTAGGTCCAGTATCACATGAAAGTACCTGCTGAGTTCAGGGTGGACTGGCAAAGGGATCGTCTTGGGTCTTCTTCCATGGTGTTTTCTGTTTTCAGGGAAAGTGTGTAAGTGGTAAACAGGCTCAAAAATGAACTTGCTAGTTTTAATACCATCGACTTCCCACTGAGTATTCATCACAGAATCTTCATAAAAGGTGTAAGCCACTGGATGCTATTTCACTTTACACAGAAGGGCCCGTGCAGCAAGACAGGGAGTCTTCACTGCTCACATACCTGGTGCTGGTCCCCCTGGTAACAAGTGGCATGTGTCTGAGCCCAGGAGACGTGGACCAGCATCAGCCTGGGTGTACTTGTGTGCATGCGACTCTTTCCTCCAAAAATCTTGGCAAGCAGATGGTTTTTTTTTTCCTACCATCTGTCTTTAGGAATTGAAACATAAAGGCATTTAAGTCTTTAAAGTCCAAGAGAGCCACAGCCTCACAGTCCCCAGTTTAGTGTTTGGAAGACAATCTTCTCCTTGTAAGTGAACCTTCCCATCTTGTCGAAGTCCTGAAGTTCTTTGCAGACTGTGCCCCTGGCCAGCTTTCAGCGAGGACAGGAGGTGTAGCCAGGTGAGATGCCAATGCCCAACAAGCCCTCCAAGAGAATCTATGGAGCTTGAAATACGCACTTCGATTTTATTTAAAATAAAATAAAACAGCGCTGACTTGTGCTGTTTCTTTATTCATAACTTTTGCTCAAAGCTGTATTCTAAGAAAATATCATAGTAATCTATCTCAAAAGCATTTTCATCAAAGAAAGCTCTCAGACTCCCCGAGGAAAGTCCATTAGCCTCGTGGGTGTTACTCCCAGGCCCCTCCTGAGCTGCCAAGCTCTCATTGTCTTCAGAACAAAGACCCATATCTGGCCATGTGGAAAAAGAGCAGAAGGAAAAAAAGGAATGATCCATGTGTCTAATGCCTGGGTCCTTTATTCTTAAATAATTTAGAGATACATCATTCTCAGTGACTGAAAAAATCAAAATAAAAACCTAGGCAGTACATTTGTAGGTCATCTTGCCTCTTGGCTGTTTCAGATCGAAAGTCAGCACCTGTTTGTTGGTGACGGACCCCAGGAGCCAGTACGCAGTGCGCCTCCCTCACAAGCTGCCGGGCATGCACTACAGCGCCAATGAACAGTGTCAGATCCTGTTTGGCACCAACGCCACCTTCTGCAGAAACATGGAGGTAGGCAGCCAGGGGGAGGCTGGCTCAGGAAGGAGCACGGGCCCGGCCCAGCCCCCCTTAGCAGCCCTGGCTTCTGCTGGAGGACATGGGTACTCACACTCAACACATGCACACACGCGCACTTGCACAGACACATGCAGGCACTCCCACACACAGTCCCCCACACAGCCAGTTCTGCAGGGTTACTACTGACACCAGTAACCTGATGTTATAACGTGAAAATGGTATGGCACTAGAGAAAAGACTTAACTCATATTTCTTGAAAATGATGTAATGTCACCTGACTTCAGATCCTGCACACAGATAAGGAAGAAAGCTAAAAACTGTCAAATGTTGGAAAGTATTAGATGGAGAAAATTTAACAATTAATAAATTGATTATATGGTGACAGTGATAATAACCCCACTAAACAGTTACCATTTATTGAGCAATGCTCAAGTATTTAGTCCTAAAGATTCCCACATGCATAGTCCCAGTTAGTCTTCACCAAGTTCCCTAGATTCCATCCTCAGTGTGCAGACAATCCGTGTTAAGCAGTCCTTCAAAGTAGCTAGGTTAGCAGATAGTAGAGCAAGAATTTGGTCACCTCAGCACACACATTTTCACCGTGCTACAACAAGCAAGGTCCATGGCAGGGCCAGTTCTCTGGGTGAGGGGTGTCAAGAGGGGCAGGCTGGGATCTGGCGCTTGACAATCGCCATGCCTGTGGCCATCTGCGTAGCAGACAGGAGACCCTGTCCCCAGAGGAAGGCCAGAGCAACACTTGACAGTGGGATTCGGCTAGCAGGGCGGGGCTCACACCATTCTGGGTCAGAGGAAGGACAGAGCAGGGAAAACAGTTGGGGATATGTGGGACTCAGGAGCCACCCAGTGGGCAGTTGGCCAGAGAGAGGGCTGTCCATACTGGGGCTCAGGACAGCATCTAGTTCCAGGGAGGATACATGGATGGCTGGGCTATTTCCTGGAGCAAGAACTTAGGACAGGACCAGTATAAAGCAGCCAGGTGCACAAGGGACTGCCTCCAGAATGAGACCCCAGGACCCCAGTTAGCCTGAACGCCTGGAGGAGAGATGCTGCCTCTGAGTGCTTGCTGTCTAAGTGTGAGGTGGTTCAGGAAATTGGGGTGAAACCTGCAGGTGGATACTGCCTGCCATTGTTTGGGGTGTAGAAAAAGGCAGCACTTCCAAACCAGGATGGTGCCTCCCACAGACTGTTTCCCCAAAGGACATTTATCTATAGTGTTGTCCTGAACCTCCTCTGCTGTACCCCAGGGGGATGTGCTGGCATGGGTGCTTTCCAAACCCGACTGATGGGGAGCTGTCTCCCACTAGGTGCCGTGGCCCCCAGCAGCAGAGTTGGAGGACACCTACATGGGGAGATGTGATGGTCCCCAGGATTGTATTGCCCCCAGCAGCCTGCCACGCGCAGTGCCCAGTACTCACCATCAGCCACCAGTGGCTTGACCATTGAGGCTCTCCTTCATATACACATGCCTGCCAAGGGACACCCTGTTTGCTTGTCCCCAGCCTCCAGTCCCTAAAGTCAATTGATGGCACAGAAATGTCAGGAGCTCGAGAGCAGGCTTTTGGGGGTCCTTTGATGGTGTGGAGATGGTGTGAGACCCCGTGAATGGGTCTCCTGGGGGCCACCAAGCATTCAGGAAAAGCTGAAGGGCCCTGAGCACTGGATTGGAGAAGAACAAAGTGCCCAGCTGAGTCAAGGGACACAAAGAAGCCACTCTGCCCACTGTGGAGTGCTACCAGGGCTGGTGAGGCATCACAGGCCAGGCTGAGCTGGCCCCGTGGAGGTGGGGTTGAGATGGGTGGAAGCTGGAAGAGACAGACTCCTCTCTGAGAGCTGCAGCTCCTTTCTCTTCTAAGAGCCAGGTGGTTGCACACCAGCTGGGTGAGGAGGGACAGGGGAAGGACACACAGGTATTGAGGGCTCACTGTCTCCCAGGCTTGACTGTTTCCTTGCATTCTCACATGAAACCCTGCCTGTAACCCTCAAGGCAGGGGCTTTTAACCCCATTTTAATAGATGAGAAAACAGAGGCTAAGAGAGATTAGGGCCTGGTCACCAAGCCAGAAAGGATGTACCAGAATGCATGCCCAGGTATGTCTATTACCGAGGGAAGAAAGGAAGGTTCCTGTCATTCAAAGACAGACCCCAATAAGGGGGATGGTGTCATGGTATTTTATTTCCTTGTGTTAGCATCTTTTAGTTGAAGGAGGGCAATTAGAGGTAAGTAATGATTAGCTTAGCTACACAGTTCCTTTCTCCCTAGAACCTCAAGATCCAAATATGTACACAGTGAAATATTCCCATTTGTAAGTTACAGTGAAGTTGAACGTTTATTCCTACAGCCCACCAGGAACTGTGAAATATGTTTTCCTTGCTTTTTCTTTGAGAGTTTCACCAGTAATAAAATAGGATAAATTGGCATCTTCCCCCACTAGCTAACAGGAGTGATTACTCAGGGGAGTGAAGAGTGACAGTTACCTTGGCAGCCGCCAGCCTCAACTGGTTGTTGGTGGTTGTCCTGCTCGCAAGGCTCGTGCTGCTTCCTTTAAAGGGGTCTGACAATGAGCTGGCTGTGACTGTTCACACTGGAGAAAGTGTCACACTGATGCTCCTCTGCACTACTGGGGAGGAAGGGGCAGAAGGTTGAGGACCAAGGACTTCAGGCATGCTGCCCTAGGCCTGGGACATGTCATTTGAATCAGATCCAGACCAAGAAGGTGCCACACTCCGGGACTCCAGGGCTCACCAGACCATTGGTTTGCCCCTCTGTGTCTTCGTAGGTCTCTGTTCCAGTTGACATTCAGTGTAGCAGGAGAGCATGGATAAGCTGTCATCATTCCTCTCTTCTTCCCTGTAACGCTGTGTCGTTGGTGCTGGCTCATCCCCACCCCACCCCCTTTCCAGTCCTAGTCCCCATTTGTGCTCCCCTCCACTTTCTCTGTTCCAGCTGTGCTGGCCTTCCCGCTTCTCCTGGAACCCACCAGCCATGCTCCTGGCAGGACACAGCCTGCTTCATGCTGGCTGTTTCCTCTGCCTGGCTGCTCTTCTCTCAGTTATACACATGACTTATTCCTCATCTTTTTTGAGTTTTGCTTTTTGTTTTCAAATGGAACCTTCTCAGTGAAGCCTACGCTGACCACCCTATTAAGAATATAACCTAGTAGCCTCTTCCTGCTCTCCCTTGAAGTACCCACGTCTCCTGATCTACTTTTAGACACTTACCATCTTTTCACATGCTATCTAGTTCACTTGTTTATTATGACTATTGCTTTGATAATCTCCCTCTTCTGGTTATAAACCCTTCAAGGGCAGTAGTCTTTACATTTGCTCACTAGTGTTTCCCAACTTTCTTGAGCAATACCTGGCACATAGTAGGTGCTCAGTAAGTATGTATTGTGCTGGGATCCAGCCTTGACCCTAAAAGCAAATTTGTTAGTGGCTTCACCCAGCTCCTGGTGAATCTGTGGACAGGTTCCAAGTTGAGGAAGAAACCCTTAGAGACCTCTCTGTACAATATATTGACTCTGATTTCACATTTCTCCATCTTCTTCAACAGCATAACACATATGACTTTGTCAAATATCTTATGGGGGGTCCATGCAAGCCTTTCCTGTGGCTTCCTCCCAGGACAAGAAACCATTCAGTGTGGTGCAGGGAGTCTGATAGTGAGTGACTGTGGCTCCTTCCTAGTGATCATCCCTCTTTCTCTATGCCCTAGAGTCCTCATGGTCAAATCTCAGGCTTGGGCAAGTTAATCCTCATAAGGTGCTGAGAAATGGGTCTTTCACAAGTCAGTGCCCAATGAGGTGAACAAGCCAATATGTCCGCTGTTATCCCCTTTCTGGATGACACTGATTCCCATCTGGGGGTGTCTGTACCGATGGGAACCAATCTGTCTGTACATCTCCAAGATCAGCATTTCTCCATGTTGCACTCTTGGGGCTGTGAAAAATTAAGCATTGTCTCAAACTTGTACTCCTCATGCAGCCAGAGACACCTAGACTAATCAGAAAGGTCTTTAATCCAGTGCCATAATTGGTCTGGATATCCATTGTTACTCTGTCATGCCCTTGAGAATTGAAATGGATATCATGTCATAAAATCATCATGGTTCCAAAGCTGCCTTTAAATTTCTTATCCGGACTTATGCTTTTGACAAACATAGAATAACAGGGACCACATTTACTCTCCTACCTGAAACAACTAAAAAAACAGATAAAATATATGAAAGAATGATTTTCAAGACACTCGACATCGAGCAACAAGGATCTCTGATCCTTGAGAGATGTGAAACAGATGAGATGAGCCTCATGGGTATCCCAGCCCACTGCCTAGACCACCTCCAGCTGTAGCACAGGGAAGGGGAATGACAAAGAAGCAGCAGTCTTCCTGATCAAGGAAGAGCTGGCTGTATGGGGAAACTGAGGCAGCCGGAGTCACAAGGCTGAGTGTCACAGAAAAGGGCCGCACAAAGAGACAACTTCAGATATCTGCAGAGAGTCCCCCATGAATTGCCAGCTTAGCCATGAGCACATGTGTGTGAGAAAACTCCCCAAGGCCAGGAAAAGAACTGTCTGAAAGGGTTACAGGAAACAGTCTCTGGAGTTCATGTGGGCATCACATAAAGCACACAGAGGACTTTGCTTCAGTAGCATGGCAAAATTAGCCTTACACTAAATACTGATCTGTTCCCACCTAATGTAGTTGAAAAGCAAGATTTGAAAGGATCAAACTGTTTCCAAGTAATTTAACCAAGTCTTAAAACAAAGCTCAAATGTATTTGTAGAAATGCAAAACTATCTAGTATTCAGTAAAGTAAAACCACAATGTCTGTCATCAAATAAAAAATTTTCACGCATGCAGAGAAGCAAGAAAATATATCCATAACTGGGGGGAGGGGAACAATCAAAATTGACCCAGAAATGACACAGGTGATAGAATTACCTGTGCCAAGGACATTAAAATAATAATTATGAC